GAGCGAAATTGCTAGTAGAAAATTTGTTCTTATAAAAAATTGAGGCCGTAATACATTCCGACTAAGAAATAATGTAAATAAATATATAAATAAAAAATGTGTATATATATATAAATGAAATAAGTAAATGAATTAATGTGTCGCATAGAGTACTATGATAAGTGTATTATACGACCGATTTCGATTAATAATTCATCATAAGATCAGTCACAGTCAAAATATTAACGAAATGCGACATTTTGACTGTGATAGACCTTAAGATGAATTTTTAATTCGAAACCGGTCGTATAATACCTACCTGATCATAGTACTCGAGGCGACGCATTGATTGATTCGTTTATTTTATTTATATATTTATGTACAAGTATTAATCATTTTAATAATTTAGTTTTTACTTTATTATTTTTTTTATCTAACTTATACCTACATTTCTTATATTTTCCCGTTTTTTTCGGTTTTTCAAATTTAAAGAGAAAACTGTTGAGAAAATTGAAAAATAACCTCCTTAATGTACCTACCCAAATCGATTTTCTTTCAGAAAAGGTGCTACTTGTAGAAATCCGATCATGTCTTCAGGTGGAAAAGTCGTTAACATATTAAACATCTTTGTAAAAATATATGCTTTTTCGTTCCACTTAGACTCTAAAAAAAATTACAAAACATAGAGTACGCCGCTTATAAGGCTCAATTTGGGACCAGCGCAAAGTAAGTTTTATAACCGAACGAAACTTGTAGATGAAGTGGAGAAAGGATAGAATGTATTCGGATATTTACAGACCGTTTCAAGGGATTTTGAATCTAATAAGTTACTGGACCGTATATCCGTGAGTATCATAAGCGGCGTCCACTGTATTATGTAGGTTACAAAATACGATAGCGGTCTTTTCATTATTAAATGTTAATTTATCTTAGTAAATCTGTTGTTTAACCCTGGTGTATTTTCGTCACGGCGATAATTGACAAGTTTTTCTGCGGATTTGCGTTTTTCGCTGACGTTATACTCGTATTATACAATAAATATGCGTGTAGGGAAAAATTTGTAGTTACGGTATAATACGGATAATAATTATCTAAAATTTGACGAATCATTTCTAAAGATTTCGTTAAAGATTCGTAAGGGTTATTTACGGATATTTAAAAATGATATTGAGAGGGGAAAATTATGTAGTAACATAAATATCCGTGGTATAATTTCGATATTTCTTACACTGCCGAATTACATGGTAACCTGTATAGGAGCATTGTCGCTATTGTATATTTTATCCCAAAAAATATTTCGAATGTTTAAATTTTTTTCTTATTTAAGGCCTCGTCTCTTACACGTTATGCGTTTTCTGTCTATAGCATGCTTAATATACCGGGTGATCCGTTGAAGTGGATACACTCAATAATAATGACTGGCGCCTAAACTATACTTTTGATGTTGCAGTTGCTGTACATTATATTTTGAGTGAATGGGTGTTCCCGGTAATTGGGATTTGGGAAATGAGTGTAAACATTGAAAAATTATACTTATTAGGGTTGGAAATTATAGATTTATATGGTTAAACGTTTTTGTATGGGTGATGGTTTTGAATTCATAACCATCCAAACATGGTGCACCAAATATTTCATTACATCAATTTATATTAAATTTGAATATAGTTTGCACGCCACTGCTCATTAACTCGGAAAGTATTAATCTAAACAAGCAGCTCTTAAATGTTACGTTAAGATTATTTTTCATTGCTCTTATTTTTGGAATTTAAACTATTACTCTTTTAATAATAGGTTGCTAAATATCGATGGTATCTTGTTGAAAAGGCGAATACTACTCTAAACATCGAAAAATACGATTTTGATATCAAAAAAATTACAACAACTAGGAACATAAACTGATGAAAGGGCATGTTTAAGTACAGACAATCAAGTTGGTAATGTCGACTAAAGGATATCATCAGGCGCCCTTTTAAAGTAAAATTCAATCAACACTGATTTGTTAAAAGAGCGTATACTACATTTAATGTGTGTATAAGTCTAACAATGAACTTGCATGACAAAATCACAGACATTTTTACAGCGGATATTATTCAATTTAGGATTTAGAGCGCACCGAGGAATGAATTGGTTTTCAAATGTTTTTTTTTTTATGTTTTTTTTTTTTTAGATTCGAAGCGTTGTGAGGGATCCATAATTCCTATTTTTCTATTTATTGTTTTTTTTTTTTTTTTTTAAACAATTTTTCTTCTAGAAATATTGTTGCCGTGTACAGAATGCAGTACTTTTTGATGCTGAATGATGATAAAGAAATCAATGTTTAGAAACTATCATTTTAGATATTACAGCTATTTGAAGTTGATGGTTGTACGGTAAATAGTACGGATATGGCCGTGATGAACACACGCTACGCCTGCCGACTTCGCACTCTTCGCTTAAACTCATACAACCTGTAGGTCCAACCTTGACAATGGTGTAAGGAAATTAGTGTTCCATATGTAAACTTAAACTTCAATACCCGAGACCGGGCATAACGGTATTTTTATCGTACCATGTACTATTCAACCGGCAACTTAGGACCGCTATAACCACAATCTTCAATATCAAAAATTATATCAAGTAATAATAAAGGGTAAAATAAATTTTACTTTTTTTTTTTTAACAATATTTCTTTTTTTAACTTTTAACTATTGTCATATTAAAAATCTATCGACATTCGTCATCGTTATAATATGATGTTTTTAGTAGGATAGATATATATAGTATTATGTATGCAATTCTAGTATCACTTTATTGGTTGTTGACATATTATAATATGGTACTCATATGATACTACTTACTACTGTAATTCACATTATAATGCGCAGCACTTGTGTTGGATAATTTCTGTAATCAGTGGCGAATCCACTACAAAACCTTTGTTTAACGTTTTACCGGCAACACTCTGTAAATAGAGCAAACAAAATGTGTAAAAAGCTAGTTTCGCTATTGTTGTTGTTTTTATTTTTTATTTTATATACATTTTTGACCGTGGCATCCGTTTTAACTCGTTTTCGTCACAACTGCAAAAATATCGAAGGTTATATTATAGCCCATTCAAAAAAAAAAACCGTCGGCGGCACTTCCTCGCTGCACAATCCTATAAGCCGGCGCGTGTTCCCCGTACACAATACACGACAATCATCGTCGCTTTTATATGTAACACGACTGCTGCGCAGCATTCTATAAACTTATTTTATAGTGTGTTTAAGACTGCACTGCAGACTATATACACAATAAGGCGTCTAACTAAACTAATATTATTTATTTTGTTCCGGCGTATGTGTGTGTGCGTGTGTGTGTGTGCACGCACACGAGGACGGGCAGCAAGCACCTCTGACGACGACGTGATCCCTTTTAAAACGTTTCTCATAATTTTGTTTTCATTCCAAATGAGGACGGAGAAAATGAACAAAAAAAAAAAAAAAAAAACAAGTAACGATAACAACGTCACAAACGTACGACGAGATAACCTATCTAATATATAGTCCGTGATTGATAATAATAAAGGACTCGACGCCGCGTAAAAGTTCGCAGTATCTAATGGGTGAAATAAAAAAAAGAACGAACCGTAAATGCAAAAACTTATCTGCAGTATAATATTTTATGGTAGGCAAGATATTATTTAGCAGCAGTCACGTCTATATAATTTTTAGGAACTACGATATGTATACGCGACCGCGGACAAAAACACGGAACACGTAGCCAAGATTTTCTTGAGACGGTGAGCAAAGGGGTGGGTGGAATTGATGGTTATCAAGTTTGAAGTTTTTATTCAGTCTCAAAAATGTATTCCGCCATTTTTTTTTTTTTTTAAAGACATGTTCACTATACAGATTTATTATTATTATTATTATTATTATTCAGTGTAGGTTTAATCATTTGATGACCGTTTTTATAAATGTCTCGTTAAAATTCCGTAAAAGCTTCGGTTATATGTAACCGTAAAATTGTCTGTTAAGTGCCGCTTACAGCAATCCGCACTCACAAGTTTTGATGAACCATCGCATAAATAATAGTTTTATACCTGCATTGTTAATTTTCAGTCGGTTTTAAAACAAGTGATTATCAGTGATTCCCAACACAACCGCCGATGACCAAATATTCTCCATGGATAAACAATGAATTCTCGAGTTGTTATTTGTTATACTGCGAGTTAAAATAACTCGAATTTATCTAATCGACTTTTTTATACAGATTTTTTTCTACAGTTAGGTATGTTTTTTTAACCTAAATCGTTTAAGAAACTCTTTTTTATCTAGTTAAAATAACTCAAATTTATCTAATCGACTTTTTCATACAGATTTTTTTCTACAGTTAGGTATGTTTTTTTTAACCTAAATCGTTTAAGAAACTCTTTTTTATCTAGCAGTTTAAAATAATATTTTAATCGTGGAAGAACAATTATTTCTCTTTTTCGGATAGGTGTGGATTTAAAGCTCTCATTTAGTTTTAAAATCGGATGAATCACTTTCTTTTCAAAGTAAAACATAATTTTAACAAAAAACAAAATAAAACATATACGCAACGGTTAATATGTAATAACGGTTTCCGTTATTTTCGATTTGGTTTTTTATTCACTTAAAAAAAACAATCGTATAAAGACCGGACATATTCACCGAATTTTTATATTATCTCTATCGAACTTCATCATTAGTTATAGTTTATAATAAAAAAAAGTTGAGCGTAACTCATTTGTTTTATAATCCAATAAAGTTCATATTTTATTGAATAATCACGACATTTTAAAATATGTTTGTTCGAACATTGTTCAGAATCGTTTTTTGTTACTTATCAATAGTTTAACGTTGCGTACATATACAGTAATACTGATTAGGTATTAAGCGTACACAATTTAACAATTTAACATTGCATTTTATCGGTAACCTAACTCTATTGTATAATTAATAATTTATATGCAATAAGTAATACACAAATAATACATTATATTTATTCACATGGGATCACCGTAGTACAAAAAATTATCAAGCCCATTTTTCTTTGTATTGTTTCTCTTCAAGTCTTCTTTTTTCGGCCCATGCAATAACGTTCGATTCGCTATTGGCGAGTTGCTGTAATTTATAAAACACGGGAAGACATAGGATACCTGCTCCCATAAACCACGGAAACATCCAGTGATGTTTGAGATGCATTTTAAACGGAAACTGAACGATCTTGGCGGTAAATGTGTACGGGAAGATCATCTGCCTACTTAACTTTTGTTTACCATCGTTTTCACAGTCGCCCATAGTGTATCGTGTTGTTTTTAATGGATTGACTAACGTAGCAACTATATTGATCTCTAAAACCAATAACGCAATCGGAATGAGAACTTCACTATGTTATACTATACACATAGGCGTAGGCGTAATAAAACGTCCGTTATACCTATAAACTGTTACAGAATTTATAAATTACCTATATAGTAGGTTCTTATTATAAAATAACGGAATAAATATATCACCGATCGTAATATTGAACACGGTTAATTATGGGCGAGGTTTAACTAGTCATACCCGAAATTTGAAAAAAAAAAACACATCATTTACGGGTCCTATAGTTTGAAATGTTTACATGTTTTATTAATTAATTTCCTACGAAAACCCTCTATTTTCCATGTACGTGTTACATATACTTGTATACAAATACATTTGCATTGATTTACTATTAACACAACAGGTAATCGTACTTGGTATTACTGATACCGGAGGTTCTTAAACATTTTTTTTTTCGTGTACCACATATATCTATTACGGATCCGTCACGTTTTACTTATGTGTATTATGGATTTATCGGATTTCACGTATCATTTGTGACTAAAATTTTAACTATTCTAAGGGCGTCCATCTTTGAAAATACAGGGAGGGAAATCTGTATTTTTTCAATAATATTTTCTAATCGCATTTGCTATTTATTTTTTCAACTCTGACGTCAATAACCGATAGGAAACCGCTAGTGAACATAATCCTACCATAAAGTATTTATTATGATCATCAATTTTTTATTAAACCAATATATTTAATATACATAATAGTTTATGTATGCATGTTTAACATGACACGGAAAATCCAGGGGGGTTTGTCCCCTACTTGCCTCTCCCAATGGACGCCCATGGACGAATCATAATTTCTCCACGTTTATTTTAAAATATTGAAAGGCGGTAAAATACTATGCAATATAATTGACATTATAAAAATTAAAGATATAAAATAGCGTTTCGTTTTACCTGAAGATAGTTTAAACCGAAAACTAGCAGTTATAATTGTCATGTTTTTTTTTTTAAATATTATAACTGTTTGGTTGTATTAAGAATGCTATATTTTCTTAACGTGTTAATAAAGTATATAATTCGCCATTCTTATTCAATTATTGTTTATATTGTTAAAATACCTTAAATGTATAAAGCAATCACGATTATTTATTAATTGCAGTTTAATAGACTCTTTATCGGCGTCATTGAAATCAGATTGTTTTTTTGTTCAACAATATTTGTATGAATGTGAAAATAATTATTGCAGTGTAATATTCAAAGTAGGAGACCACTCTGTTCTTATTTTTAATATTATATAATTTACAATTTTCTATTAATCAATTTTTATTAATCACTATTCGGTGATTTTGATTACAATAAGAATAATTATATTTATTTTCGGGAAAATTCGATAATGTTAACAATTTAGAAGAAACTTGTTTATTATATACTTAGTATTAACACTTCGCTTACCTCAAGTTTCCTGGTTTGTCTGCCAAAAATCAACGCTGTACATACAGTCGACCGGGAAAATGTCTGAAAGTGCCTGTAATGGGTATTATACGTATTTATCGAACATTGGATAACAAACGCAAACAGATATTAATCATAAATAATGTTACGTGCGTTGTCATAAGAACATATTGTACATTTTATGTTTGTCGATTAAATTTATTTGGGCTAATATACGAAAATGAGAATTATAAACTATTTTTGAAATATTAACAATAACACCAATGTTTGTGTTATCGATTTTATGAAATTTTACAGCAAAGCGTTGATACTGCCGATGGGTGTTCGTGCTCCACTGTTGCAGGTGGAAAATTTGGAAAGTAGAGTTGATACGTAAACATATTTAATTTACGTATGTGCGCAACAATATACTACCGGTAAAGATACGGGATTCTGAGCGGATACCGATAAAAAAAACATTTTGAAATACCGTGATTTTGACGGTTTTTGTCAACTTGAAGTTTGCCCGTAAAAATGTTAGCAACGGTTTATCGTTGGTGACAGGTAGGTACAGTGGCTTTAACCGTCTCCAGTATCAGTCCATTCGTTTTATTTTTTTTTTTTGTTTTTTTTTTTTAATATTACAAGTCACCCTTCCGAACGAGTAGTGACACAAATCAAAATATGAAAATGTTGAGAAATCGACTTTTAATGTTTCATTTCGTTCAGTTTGAATTCGTACTGTCTTTAGTATCGAATAAATGAAAAAAATTTCAATAATAGTAAATTATAAAGGACGACATTCTGTATATTTTCACAATAAACTCGAAAATCGTGTTTCTCGAGCCGCGTCAGTATTCTCTCAGCGGTACGGGAACGTTTACGATTCCCCGTCGAGTTTCGTCCGACAACCGGCCGGCTCAATACGGCGCCCGGTCCCGGGCTTATCGCGAGAACAATAATGTTCTCGTCGTCGAGAATTCGCGAACGCGCGTTGTAATATTAATTAGAATAACATTCGTCTCGGCCGTTATCGCTCGACGGCGCGGCGGCGGCTGACTCGCAAAAACAATACGGCGTCCCACATAACGTCCCCGTCGTATTTACTGTTTAACGCGTTTCGGCGGCGGCGGCGGCGGCGCGGGGACGGGGGAAACAAACGTTTCCGCGTTTTTCCGGCGGAGACGGTTCGCGCGCGCGGTCGGTTCGAAAAAACTTTTCTCCGCGTTATTATAAAACGTTTTCTCCGCCGACGGTTGTCCGGAATTAATAACAAACGACCCCGCCGCGTCCGTCCCCGGGGCGGCCGGCGTGACGTCGTCGTCCGTTCGCGTATTTATTATTATTATTATTATTATTATTATACAAACGGAACGGTGCTCCGGTCACGCCGCCGTCATCGCGAACGTCACGGACGGCGGCGACGTTTCGCTCCGGTCTTTTGATGTTTTCTTTTTTTTTCCCCCTCGAAATCGCCGCCGTCCGCGCGGCTTAACCTGCCCGGCGCTACTCTCGCCAATCCGTTTCCGAACGACTGCGTCCTCCCCGCACCCTCCACCCATCCCGGACTCCAGCTCCACCGCTTTCTAACGGCTCACGGCCCGCGTCGGCCGCCGCAGATTATCATTTCGGAAAGAAAGGGCGCCGCCGTTGCAGAACACCGCAAATATGCGTACACAGTCATTAACAACGGCGAGTAGTAAAGCAGTAATTTTGCGTATCGGGAGTGACTGCCGGGTGTAGTTGGCGGGAGGCGACGACGGGAGTGCTTGTTTGATGAAAAGCGCCGTCACGATTTCGCGCGAACCGTAAAACGAAAACCGTGTAAAACTGTTGCGCGGCCAGCGACGGCAGTTTACCCGCAGAGGTCGCTGTCCGCGTACCGATTTAATGCCGCCGCCGCCGGCCAGTAAAATTTAACGGACATTTTCGGGCATTTTCGTTTTTGTTTTACAGCATTTCATTCGCGGGTACGCGAAAATCTATAATTCACCTTGTCGTGCAGTTATCGACATAAATCGGTAGACGCTGTTTAAATTCGAATATCCAATCGAGTTTTACTTTGAATTATGTTCAATTTTTCAATGGTTTTTTTTTTTTTCTGTGAACATCTCTACCAGAAATTCGTTTCGATTTTCAGGTGTAGCAAATTTTTCAAAAGGGAGTTCGGCTGGGTGGTACTTTAGGAAAGTCGTTTTTTTTTTGATTTTCCCAGAGGTTTCCATAATGAATGAGTGAAAGCGGGACCATATATAACCGAACTCCGCTCAGAATCGTTTTTCGTTAGCAATAATTAATCGCTGCGTAGATATATATATATATATATATATATTAAATTTACTCTCTACCTTCCAAAATTCTCACCTTCAACAGTGGCCCAGCTATCACCCGGAGTATATTCATTTGTTTTTTTTTTTCTTAATAAATTTTATATGAACATATTATTAATGTTTTGTATTGATAAATTAATGTACCTAACATTTACGAACGTACATTTCATAGGATAATTAATTTTTATTTAAAATAAAATTCAAATTTTGGCCCTTGACACCAAAAAGGTTGCCGATCCCGGATGTAAATAACGGATGATCTATGCTCAGAATCGTTTTTCGTTAGGAATGGCTTACGTACGGATATAAATTAAATAACTCATATGTATATCTTCTTTCAATCCTTTCAAATTTCCTAAATAGCGCACCCATATGGAACAACAGCTCCCTTTTTATCTTTTTTAAATATTGTCTACCCTTATATCATATTAAAAATGTTTGACAATGTTATAATAATGTCACACGGCCCTTAAAAATATCTTTGCGTCCCAAATGTTTAATGTACATAACCAAGCTATCGGAATAGGAATTTTTCAATGAATGTCTCGTTGAAATACTTATAGATGTACAAAGGTAATTGCTTATGCATACACGCAAAGAATATCATATACCGTTGCAAAAACTAAGGCCCCGGAAACATAACGTCGTCTCTGGGTGTCTGGAGGCCGGGGGGCCTTGACCTTCTCTAGTTCTTCCCCCCTTAATCTGGGCTTGTACATAACTACTACTCTTCTCGGACGTTTGACCTCGGACGCGGACGCAAAAAAATAAAAAAACGTGCGCTATATCGTTTATTCGAGTCTACAGCCGATAGCAGCACACACGCACCGGAGACAGCGGGTGATCAATGGACGTGAAAGATATTTTAAAGGTGGCGGGGTGGCACCGGTGGCAACAGACATCGCTCGTGTTTAAAAAAAAAAAAAAAAAACTACGGCGATGACGACGACGGGGTCGGCGATTAAACGATATAAGGGAATAGAGGGAGAGTATTAGAAATAAAAAAAATAAAATACGCGTCAGAGAGGGGTGAAAACGCGAGCGATTTGTAAAACCGACGTTATACTCTCCGATATCGGTCTTGTTCGGCGGATATGGAGAGGAGAGGGTAAAAAAAAAAAAAAAAAAAAAAAAAAACCGGAGTGAGGTGCGAGACGGCGGTGAGGGGTGGGAGGGTGGTGTCTGAACACGCGGAGAGGACCGAAGAGCACATAAT